GATGCTAATTTTGGTGATGTCACTCTAACGTGACATAATATTATTGTATAGATACTTGTCTAATGATTAGGGATATTATGTATACAAATGTTTAGTTTATGTAGGTGATATAGGTAATCCCATAAGGGGATTAAGCTTTCAGTTGATTATGTTTTCTATCCTATACATGTATATGTTATGAATGATTAAATAATTGTTACATGAGAACTATAGAATTTAAAAATTAGGATTTAATTCAGATTTTTTTTTTCTGTATGCATATAATATTTGGATTCAAGAACTTGTTAAGAAATCAAATCATATTTTTCAAATCAACATAAAAATTAAAGATAACCATGCCGTAATTAAATGAAAGACAAAAAATAAAAAACAATGAAAAATGTTTTTTACATATATTTTAACTTTTAGTAAATATGTTTTACATAGAAAGTGAATCACATAGATTCGTAATAAATAAATTTATATACATGCATTATGTGTATGTTTAAAATTTATCATGTCTTAATTAGGTAAAGAATTTCCACATAAACAATAAAATATTTTAATACTTTATCTAACATAAACAATTAATTTTTTTTGAAAGAATCCATAACTAAAAGACCAAATTGTATTTCTATTGTTACCCTAAATAAATTAATCACCAAAAAAGGAAATTGATATATTTAAAAATTAGACGAAGGATTTGTTGTAGCTTAAAAAATCTAAATATTTAAGATATATTTATTTATGAATAGTTTTTACATGCAATCTCATATAATCACAATTTTCTCTTGATAGCAATCAAAATTATTATGTATAGTAACATTGTTATTTTTTATGATACTTACTTTAAAAATATTTAATATATTTATTAAATCTTTTAAACCCATTGCAAATATTTTTAAATTGGTGATATAATTAGTTTTTTATTTGATATTTTATATTCATAGTCTAATTAATAATCTTGTTTATAAATATCTTAACAAAAATATAAGAAAAAGAAAAACTATACCCTCGCAAATAAAGGAAAATGCTGCGTGAAAGCAACAATTGTGCAGACTATTTGTCAAAACTTGGACCTAAATAGGAGCCATTGTCCAATGTGCCAACTGATCTATGAAGACTTTTGTTAAGATGCTATGAGAATTAACTTCTTATAAGAGATTAACTTTTTTGTTTTGCTTTCTGTTTTACTTTTTTTTTTTCTTCTCTTCATGTACCCAAAATGATTATAAAGGAAAATGCATAAATAATTATTAATTCTAAATTCATAAAAGATAGAAACAAAATCTCATACATGCATCGAAAATCATTTATTTAATATATTCGAAAAAAATTAAATCTCACTTCGACCACGTGAAGATACCCACTTAAAAGAGAATTTTAATTTATAAAACCTCAATGTAAAATAAAATTTATTTATTTCAAATATAAAATAGTTGTTAAATACGAACGAAGTTACTTGCCACAAGTAAAAAAAATGCACAACGAAAAGATACTCACATTTAATAATAGTTTATAATATAGGAATTATTACTTTTACATATAGTCATAAAAAATGAGTCAAAATTAGTGAAAAATCTCTATCAACCACAAGTTTGACTCTGGTTGGATTAGAAAAATTTGATATGAATCTGGTTTTAAAATTTTTTTTTGGCTCCACCTATTTGCAACTGAACTAGTTATAAATTCAGTACATTCACGATTGGTCCACATAATTTACTTTTTCTTTTTCTTCTTCTCAAATGTTAGTTTATACAATTATACATTTACATTATTAACTAAACTTTATATACTAGTTATATACTAGGATATTTAGTATTAGTTTGATATTATTTATTAATATTTTATGCAACAACTTTAATATTATAAGTTTATTAAGTTAATTATGGTTGATACTTATTTTTTTTATGATAATTTTTTTTCCAGTTGTTAACATAATTATAATTCTAAAATATGAGACTATAAAATATATTTTTTAAATTAAATTAAATGTATATTTTAATTTAAGTAAGTCAACTCATTTAACTCACTATGTGGTGAACCAAGTCATACTCATTTTTTATAATCTAGTTTAAAAATGAGTTGAGTTAAATTAAATCATCTTTTAAACAACATGTAATATAGTGAGTAAGGTCGAGTTGGATGACCCACCTTGGTGGCTAAATATATATATATATATATATATATATTCTTTTTTGTTTTGCTTTCTGTTTTACTTTTTTTTTTTCTTCTCTTCATGTACCCAAAATGATTATAAAGGAAAATGCATAAATAATTATTAATTCTAAATTCATAAAAGATAGAAACAAAATCTCATACATGCATCGAAAATCATTTATTTAATATATTCGAAAAAAATTAAATCTCACTTCGACCACGTGAAGATACCCACTTAAAAGAGAATTTTAATTTATAAAACCTCAATGTAAAATAAAATTTATTTATTTCAAATATAAAATAGTTGTTAAATACGAACGAAGTTACTTGCCACAAGTAAAAAAAATGCACAACGAAAAGATACTCACATTTAATAATAGTTTATAATATAGGAATTATTACTTTTACATATAGTCATAAAAAATGAGTCAAAATTAGTGAAAAATCTCTATCAACCACAAGTTTGACTCTGGTTGGATTAGAAAAATTTGATATGAATCTGGTTTTAAAATTTTTTTTTGGCTCCACCTATTTGCAACTGAACTAGTTATAAATTCAGTACATTCACGATTGGTCCACATAATTTACTTTTTCTTTTTCTTCTTCTCAAATGTTAGTTTATACAATTATACATTTACATTATTAACTAAACTTTATATACTAGTTATATACTAGGATATTTAGTATTAGTTTGATATTATTTATTAATATTTTATGCAACAACTTTAATATTATAAGTTTATTAAGTTAATTATGGTTGATACTTATTTTTTTTATGATAATTTTTTTTCCAGTTGTTAACATAATTATAATTCTAAAATATGAGACTATAAAATATATTTTTTAAATTAAATTAAATGTATATTTTAATTTAAGTAAGTCAACTCATTTAACTCACTATGTGGTGAACCAAGTCATACTCATTTTTTATAATCTAGTTTAAAAATGAGTTGAGTTAAATTAAATCATCTTTTAAACAACATGTAATATAGTGAGTAAGGTCGAGTTGGATGACCCACCTTGGTGGCTAAATATATATATATATATATATATATATTATTAAAAAGTGGTTCATATAGTTTTACAATAAATAAATTTACGTGTATTGTGTATTTAAAATATATCATATAAAGATTAAGTATATTTTTTTTATAGATTATATCTTAATTAAGTTAATTTTTTTCATCTATGAAAATCAATCGTTGATATGAACGAAGTTTACAATACTCTCAATCGTTGATATGAACAAAGTTTACAATACTCGTGCATCTTACTCAATCAACTAAGCTAGACCTGATACTTAAGTTAATCTGGTAAAGAATATTTTAATACAAATAAAATATTTTAATATTAATAAAACTTTTTTTGGTAGATGCATGATTTTAGAATAGCCAAACTCAATAACTAAAAGATAGTAAAAATAAATAAAAATACATACATGTAATGATAAAAAAAAAACACATACATCCAAAATCTCTTAATATATACCCAAATAAGTTAAAATTCACTTCGATTAAGTAAAGATGGTAAGAAATCCCACCTTCAAAAGAAAAAAAATGAAGGGGAAAGATACCTGATATATATTTTAAAAAAAATTAAATTATACCTTATTATTTTTAAGATTCAATTTGGTCTTACTATTTTTAAATAGTTTGGATTGGGTAGATAATTTTTTTAAAATGTTCAATGTTATCTTTATGCTCAAATTGACATTAACAATGTTAACGAAATTTGATGAAAGAATAACATTAAATATCATTTGAAATATTTATTTTGATTCATTATTTTAAAAATATTTAATTTGATCCTCTAATTTTTAAAACTTATTCAATGTTATTTTTCACTTAATTTTATTAACATTATTAATATCAATTTGAATGAATGAAAAAATAATATTAAAAAATTTTAAAATTAAAGAATCAAATTAAAACTTAAAAATAAATAAAGGGATTAAAATTATAACTTAGAAAAAGGAAAAAAATAATTTTAATTTCTTATCAATATTTTACATTTATTAAAAATCCAGTCAACATTCTTAAATACATTCATTGTAATAATATATTATGATATTTTAGTAATTGGATTAAAGTAAAGATAAAAAAACCCTGGTTAAGACGAATTTCATTCGTAAGTCAAAATTATCACATATATATTTCTTTTGTAATTTGTTTCACTTTATTTAGTGTTTTAGGAAAAAAATTATTTCACTTTGATTGTTTTTTATATTATTAATGAAATATATATATATATATATTATTTTTCTTTCACAAGAATAAAAATAAAATATATTTGAACATAAAATTTTATAGATACCATTTCAATTTCACTATTAAGTAAAATTTAATAACCTTAAAAAATATTTTTTTGTTATATTTTTATCCGTAGAACTTATTATCGATTTATATATAAACAAAAATAAATAATTTTATAAAAATTAAGAAAGTTCATTAAATAAATATATTTTATTATTTCACATAAAATATATTTATCCACATTTAAGATACATAAGATATTTTAAGATTAAAAGTATTAAATAAGGTTGAATTATTGAAATTTACTTATACGTTCGTTTTTTGGTTAGAGAGTATTTATTTAAAAGAAGTTGGCTAATAAATTATACAAAATCTTAGATATTAATTAAATTTGTTAATAATGATTAAAGAAGAAAGAAAATAGAAGCATTGTATTGTAGGTGTAGCGTAGTGAAGAGTGAAGAGTGAAGAGTAAAAAATAAAAAGTATGGAAGGGGCGAGCGCGTGTGATCCGCGTGGGGTTTGTGGTAGATTGAAGGAAAGGCGAGGGTGTTTTGGGTATTTGAAGATTCCCTTCTTCCGAATCGGTTTAATTTAATCCTTGATATACGAAACAGCAGTAGTCGACTAGTCGCGTTGTGTTCACTGAACCAAACACAACACAACACAACACAACAACCCAACCATTCCCAAATCCCAATCCAAATGACGTGAACTCCAAAACATGTCCTCCGTGCACTGGACCTCCCACGCGCTCAACGGCGGAGCGCTCCGCCGCGTCGACCTCGACTCCGGCACCAACGGCTGGGCCTCCCCTCCCGGCGACCTCTTCCTCCTCCGCTCCACTAATTACTTCACCAAACGCCAAAAAACCCCCGCCGGCGACTACCTCCTCTCCCCCGCCGGCATGGACTGGCTCAAGTCCCCGTCAAAGCTGGAGAACGTCCTCGGGCGGGCCGACAACCGCGTGGGACAGGCCCTTCGACAGGCCCAGGCCCAAGGGAAGTCCCTGAAAAGCTTCCTCTTCGCGGTCAACCTCCAAATCCCGGGGAAGGAGTACCACAGCGCGGTGTTCTACTTCTACACGGAGGAGCCGGTCCAGTCCGGTTCACTCCTGGGGCGGTTCATCGAGGGCGACGAGGCGTTTCGCAACCAGCGGTTCAAGCTGGTGAACCGGATCGTGAAGGGGCCGTGGATCGTGAAAAAGGCGGTGGGGAACTACAGCGCGTGCTTGCTGGGGAGGGCGCTGACGTGTAACTACCACAGGGGACCTAACTACTTGGAGATTGACGTCGACATTGGGAGCAGCGCCATCGCCAACGCCATCCTGCGACTCGCCTTGGGCTACGTCACCACCGTCACCATCGATATGGGCTTCGTCGTCGAGGCCCAAACCGAGGACGACTTGCCCGAGAGGCTCATCGGGGCGGTTAGGGTTTCCCAGATGGACATGTCCGCCGCCACACTCGTCGATGCCCCCAACGCGCCGCGCGGTAACAAGGTCAACCACCTTAGCGCTAACGACGAATAATATATAATTTTTTTTATTTTATTTTTGTGTTTAGATAATTTCATTTCGCCAGCTGCCTGTAATTTTAGGCTCTTTTTTCGGGACTAATAAACATTTTTCCTCAAAGCTTGCATTTTTAGCTCTTTGTTCCTTGCAACACTTGAAATGAAAACCGCAACGCATGCTGGCTTGGTATTATTGTGATGCATGATTCTTCCAATTCATTGTTATAAAATATGTTAATTATGAGAATCGAACAGCCAAGAAGATAGTACTTGTGTTTTATTGGATGATAAGATTGAGAGATGGTGGGATAGTGGGACAGCCATGATTATTGCTATTTTATTCTTCCTCAGCTGTCATGCTGTTCAGAAATCAGAATATAGCTCTAAAGCTCTACCAAAAATGCATAATGTACCTTTAAAAGAGCTTTTCTTTTAATCTGAATTTGTTCTCCTATTTGAATCTTCACCGGAGTCTACAACATTCGGTGAGTGTAAACTGTGTTGCTTTTGAGTTGGAGGTTCAAATTCATTTATATGAGAGTTATATTTGTCACCATAAATTCTTTTATTTCTTCTTACTATCCTATAAATTTCATAATGTTACTTATTATTATCAATAGTCTCATCAATTATATCATTTTGATTATTATCATGCATGATTTTGTCAATCTTGGTGCTTGATTCCATTCGCCATGGGTAAGTAGTCAATTAGCGACTGAGTTCTGTTGTAAGAGTGAGACAAGAATTCGACAAATCCTAATCAGCCGAAAGTCAAATCAAATAGGCATGGTCGGCAAAAAGTACGGACAATACACAGTTCTTCAAACTCAAATGGTTGTGTTCACAGAACGCTACTAGAAGTTAAAAAGATGTGTTAAGGAGGTTTGGCTTAAGCTTTAATCAGGATTATCTTACGTGTGTCAGTGTCATTCATTATGTATGTTTCCGATTTAACACTAATAAATAATAATAATGACTGTTTGTCTCATTGTGTGACGATTTTCCGTGTCCAAAATGCTTTCGAATAAACTCCGCTGGAAAAATCACGAAGCCTCTGTTTTCTTCGAATTGTTATTTTTCTCCTATTACTGCTTTTCAGCCAGAAAAAGTTGTGGAAAACGAAGACTAGAAAATTAAAAAAGGTTAGTATATATACTGTGTAAACTATTATTTAATCGTAATTGTCATATACTAATAAATATTTTAATTTTTATAATAATTACTTAAAAGTTACTATACAGTAAAAGTTTTTTCTTTCCTTCTTGCAACTATTTTAGCATATCTTAAGTGATATCCTAGCACACGGTTAGTTTTAGTCAAGCCTGTACTACTATTTGATCACTCATTCTTTCAACTTTATGTATTTATTTTTAACCGAACAACAATGGATAGTATTTGAATTTCAATGGAATGAAATTGAAAGCTAATTGTTACCTCCGAATCCGAACGAGGTAAAGCGATTGTGAGAAACGATGTTGTTGAGCGCCCAATATTTAGACGCCGATTTTTTTGAAATTCCCAAACAGCTATTCGATTCCACTTGGTTTTCATGGGGGAATATTTTTGTTAATTATTTTCCAACAAACTAACATTTTTTTTTTTCAATGAGAGAGTTTTCTAAAAAATCTTTTAATTTTTTATTTAATTTAATTTTTATTTATCATAAATATTTATAAATTAAATTTTAATATTTTAAAAATAAATTATCAATAAATAAAAATAATCATATATTATTTATCATATTTATATAAATTTTAAATATAATTTATATATTTAAATATAATATTTATTTACATATATAATTTATTATAAATTTTAATTATATATAATAAACATTTAACCTATATTACACATACTAAAATACTATAGTTAAATTAAAATAAGATATACAATCGATACTATCCTAATTACCTCGGGTACAGGACTTGTGTTAAATATCTTCGGTTTTAATTACTTCATCAATTTCATAATAAATGTTTATTTAATTATTTTTATACAGACTAAGATAAGTAATCTTATAAAATTAATTTAATTATTTCTTAGTTTTTATATATTATTCTAATGATTCATTTTCAAAGAAACTAATCTTTTGTTTTTTTCTTCTTCTGAAAATGACGCAGTACAGTTTTAGGGATGTAAATATATATATATATTTTAATATTACATTAAAAAAATTAAAATACTGAATTTTAGAATTCACTTTTTCCCCCTAATCATCTCAAGCAAACAACGGCGAAAAGAGTATATTTTTCATGTGAATGTATGTTTGGCAAAAAGTATACAATGTATCAAATGGTTATTTTTCTCCTATTGCTGCTTTAATCTCTTTAGTTTGCTACATTGTCAAATTCGCCATTTTAACATGCCAATTATGCTTTACAGTATATATAATTATTTTCTTAAAAAAAATTTGTATCACCATCAGGACGATACGTGCACAATTTTTAATATAATAATGAGTAACACCTTTTTCACAAACAAATAATTATATTTTATTTTTATCATCATATATACTCCGTGACGTGAGTGACAAAATTTGCCGGCGCACGGTATCATAATATATAATGCGATAGTGTGATGCAAATTCGATAATGAAATGATGCTAATACTACACCAATCATTCCATTGCAACAATCATTTATTGTTACATAACAACAACATGATAAAAAGTAACTTAAACTATTCAATTCAAACATAGCATGCACCATGGAAAAGGATGGTATTTATTTGTGTAAAGTGGGCTCAAGCAGCCCAATTTGTTGCAATTGAATTTTGTGTGATGGGCTTAAAGGCTCAATTTATTTTTCTTCACTTGGGAATTCTGACTTTGTTTTACGCTTTGAATTGATACAATTCTAAAAAGAAAAAGAAATGGGAGTAGCGGAATAAAATTAAAATTAAAAAGATAACAGATAAAGAAATAAAATATAAAGAAAATATAGTCGACCATTTAGACTGTTCTTGCCTAATTTATTTTGAAAAGGTTAACAAGAAGGAGATAAATGCCAAACCGAGAAAGAGAAAAAAAATTATTGTTATTTGTGAAAAAAAAAAAATAGAGAGAAAAAAAGAGAGAAACGCATTAAAATAAAATATGAAAAAATTGCGTATTTACAAGCTTCTATTATAGACATTGCCTTTGCTAGTATTTTATGCCAGAAAATTGAGTATCAAATAATGATTGGTTGCTTATGTTAGGAGTCTATGTGTTTCCGAATAATCATTTTTCTCTATTACTATATCAGAATTGAGTTGTTCGTTTTCTCTCTTCTGTTCATCATTATTATGGATTCTTGTCATACTTAGAATTTATGCTACAAGGATAGACCTTCTGACAGTGAGTTTGGAAAAAAACAAAAAAACAGCATTGAATTATTTGTGTAAATCTAGTGCATCTTGATTGCACTAAAATCAATAAAATATTATAATGTCATTAATATACTATCAAATACTCATTCTGAACATATATATAAACAAAAAAAAAATCAAAGTTTAGATACCAATAAGTAGTTATATTAGTTGATTTTATCGAGTTCATAAAATAAAATAATTTACCAATTTTACTCTCTTATCATTAAATTTTCATGTGTGGTGAAAATATTTCTCGATACTAATAAAAATTATAAATATTTATTGAAGAGTTTAAAAATTAAGAGAGAATCCCTTCAAAAAAAAAATAAGAGAGAAAAAAACACATTCTTACAATCTTTAATATGAGCAAATAAAGAGAAAATAATTCAATACTTTCTTCTAGAAACTATAATATGCTTTATAAGAAAAGACAATTTTTTTTTCTCTAAAATACGCCTAATAAGGAAACAGAGGGAATATAAACTATTTAAAGTTTGATAAAATTAACAATGTGTTGGTACTTTTCCACAATAAATTTTCCCAACTACAAAAGGCAATGCTCCCACCCACCTTTGTACAGTGCACCATGCATTATCATGGGGAACTCATTATGACCTTTTTCTCTTATAAATCATAATGTTACAGGATTAGAGCTCAATTAGGACTCAACTGTCTCATCCCTCTTTAAAAAGAAAGTTAGAAATTATAACACTGTTCTAGTAGTTCCCGTTATCATGTCATAACATGTTAATCGGTCAAACTACACCATTTCTGAAAAATAGATCAGAGGACAACAAAGAATGGGGAAAGAAATAGCACAAGACAAATAAAATCATTTGAAGACACTATTGTTAGGATGGTATTTTCCATAATGCTTAGTGAACCTTGGTTGATACACCACATTTTTCTTTTCCTCAAGCATTAGTTGATTCACAAGATTGTCGAATTTCACCTTGATCACCGGATTTTACTCCAACACTAGTGAGCTTCAAGAATGACTGACCCCAATTTTCAAAGAAAAGTTCTTGATCATTGGCAAAATTCTCCACCAATTTCCTTGTGTTATCATTGCTTAACAAAACAGAATCTGACTGGAATAGCCCCTTGTGGGACAGAAGATTTTGGTAGTACTTGTTGTCAAAGGCCATAGATGTTTCAGGGTCATTGTTCACCGTTACAGATGGTTGAACACCAACTGGACACTGTTTCATTAGCTCATTAGCGTAGTCACTATCAAGGGTTTTGTCAATGAGCCTAAGCTTTCCCGATGAATCTTCTTGAAAACGACCCCTGAATGAGCTGCAATGAGCTGTGCCTATGGTATGCGCTCCTGAAAAGGTTAACTATCACCAAATAAGTATATAGTGCTAGTACTAGTAAGGTATCAAAGCAGACAGTGTGAAAGGTTAACCTATGTAATGGTTGACAATGAAGTAACATTATATCAAATTCTTATGCCAAAACACCTTGGCTTGAATATATGCAAAATATAGAAAGAGGAAAAGGTCAATAATGTTTTTAAAATTGGACTGAGCTAGCTAGTTAAACCATGATTTCTCCATCTTTCTGGTATGATAATAATTTATTATGTTGTCTAATTAAATATTGATTGGACCATTAAAACACGACCTATAGCTCTTGTTGGTTCAGTCTTTGGTCTTGTTTTTGAAACTTTGCAGGTAAACAGCTATTAGTCTAGTGAATTTGATGAGAATTGACAAGGTTCTCATGTACAAAGCATCTATAGTTCAGCTCTTTCCATCCACCAGAATGCCTTGTTTTATTGGAGTTTACTTGTAAACAAAACAATAAATGCTAAAGTTCTAGTATATTGTGGAATGCAAATAATATAGATCTCAGCTCATGGTATCATTTATTGACAAAGGCAGATTCAAAGCCAAGACTAATTCGGTGGATTCTTTTGCTACAAGATTTTGATTTAGAAATCAAGGACAAGAAGGGATATGAGAACCATGTTACTGATCACCTATCTAGACTTGTTAATGAGGAAGTGACCAGTCAAGAAGAAGAAATCTTAGGAGAGTTTCCAGATGAGAAGTTGTTTGCAGTAAGTGAAAGACCCTGGTTTGCTGATATGGCAAATTACAAAGCAGCAGGGGTTATTCCAGAAGAATACAACTGGCAACAAAAGAAGAAGTTCTTCAGAGATTCTCACTACTATGTTTGGGATGATCCATATTTGTTCAAGATAGGTACTGATGGTTTGCTAAGAAGGTGTGTATTTGGAGTTGAGATTAAAGATATTCTCTGGCATTTTCATAACTCGCCCTATGGTGGACATTACAATAGTGAAAGAACAACAGCAAAGGTCAGCTCTTTCCATCCACCAGAATGCCTTGTTTTATTGGAGTTTACTTGTAAACAAAACAATAAATGCTAAAGTTCTAGTATATTGTGGAATGCAAATAATATAGATCTCAGCTCATGGTATTAGGTGGCTGAAAATCAGAGGAAAGATGATTGTTGAAAAGAAGCAAACCAATAATTAAACGAGCAAATTACACTTACACTCCTGATATCCAAGAAACACATCATAATGTGTATCCTTAAAAGGGGATTACTGTAAACGTTAAAAAGGCAGGGTTTTCGTGTGCAATCTCAAAAAACTACAGGAGCATCAGTGTAATTTGCATTAATTAAAATCATTCCCTTAGAAAGTTACAAGACATAGAACACGCACCTGAAAGGACGACAAGATCAAGTAAGGATAATCCTTTAGCAGCAAAGAGTTTAACCATCTCATCTATTGAAAAACTGGTGTCCACAATGTTGGGTCTGACATTTGAAGCAACTGAAACCATCCCATCTCTCCTACCTGTAGGAATCATAGTCCTTGGTCCTCTAGCCTGTTCTCAAGTGCCCTTCAGTTAATAACCGTACCAAAAGAGATGTCATGACAATATACCATTGAAGAACATTAGCCTTTAGCCATGCAATGAGGTAGAACTTACTATTTCAACAGCGTCTCTAGCAGCTAAAGCTATTATATCTGCACAAGAAACAGTTCCAGGGCAGAATTTCTCCAGGACTCTTTTTGCCGAATCTATAACTGAAAACCCTCCAACAGACCTATTTCCTGGATCAGTTTGCTCTGTATTGTTCCCTTGTAGCATCAGAGAGGCATCACATCCCTGCATATCAAGTGATTCATTACATCAAGGAAACTCGCTATAACCTACAATATAAATGCATTATGCATGCAACCTCTTTGGTCATCTTAACCTCAACCATATTTGAATTTTCCATTACATAATTGTTTTGTATCTGTTGAATGTTCAATTAGGAGATAAGTTCCTTAAGAAAGGATATAATTAAACAGAAAATGTGATCTCAAAAAGAGGATGTAGGAAAATGTATTGGTAGCTCAATCAAGTGTATGTTTGGCTCAACATCTATGATCCAGGTTTAAGCAAAATATTAAAATTGATGCAAAAGCAACTAATTGTTAATTCTACTGATCCACGTCTAACCAAAATTGATGTGAATCTGAACATACGACAAGTACTTTACATGTTACAAGTAGAAGAAAAACACATTTCCTGAAGCAGCTGAACACTAACCTCCACAAAGCAATCATGGAAAACCAAGCGAAGGAGCTTTCCAGGAATGGAAGGATCAGTAGAAGAGGATGAGATGACTATGTCTCTTATGATTAACTCTGCTGATGGGCATGAAGCTGCATAGAAGTTGAAAGAGAGGCTAGCCTTAACAAGGGCAACAAAAGAAAACATACAAAGAGAAGAGATTGCTATGGAAAGAAATCCTGTTCTTGTCTCCATAGGAGCAATTTTTTAGAGGTTTTGGAGCTGTATGTTTGAGTGTGGAGGGTTTTCCACTTGACTGACACATTATATTATAAAAGGAAATTGACCCCACATTTATTTGGTTGGGTGAAATCAGTAAATAGATAGAGGGTTCGGTTATGAAGTTTGCAGTTACTAGAAGGTTTCTCTCATCAAGCATTTAAGGTTGCTTCATGCAACTCTTAAATAGTATAGTTCAGTCATAGGAACAAAAGTTGTGCTTCTGTCGCGCGTTACCGAGAAAAAGGTGCTACAATTTGTAAGATGCTAAAGAATTGTTTTGCGATCAACTTTCAATGCCTTTTTTTTTTAGCTTTAGGTAGAGTAGTGGTTTATCTTAAGGTGTGTAATGTATCAGTATCACCATTGGCATTCAAAGAGTAATCTTAAATGAAGAGCGTACTTGTTTGCTGTGAAGTAGCTGTAGTTTCTACAACGCTAAACGGCTAACCCTTTTTAAACACAGATAAATAATATACTATTTATTTTTGTTTTTATTGTACATTAGTTTATTATTATTCACCAAATAAATTATTATAAATATAAATATAAACAAACCAATCTTCATATATTATTAAATCAAAATCTGATTCGTTTAAAAAAAGAATACGCTTTTTTAAATTAAAATACAATTATAATTATAACTATTATTAGAAAATCAATAATTAATATCACTGTTGAACACAAATATGTATAACAAATCAGATAAAATTACATGCGGTATTATAGGTAGTATTCTCTGATCAGAAATCTAGATGAAACCCAAATTCTAATTTGACATCAACGCTAACGGTATCTGTTATCTATGATAATATGTCTACATTTTGTCTTTAACAAATTGAGTTGTTAAAATCTAACTGGGAATATTCTAATCAACAAATATTGATGCATTTTTTCTTCTAAAACTTCTTTTGGATTAAGCTCAATCCTTTTTTTTTTCTTTTATTTGATCCCTCTAAATAAGTCAAAAGAAAATATTATTTCCTCGTTTGTCCCTTTTTATATCAAGTATTTCACATTTGACTTATTTTATTTCTTTCAAATACTATGTTCTTGTAAATTTAAATTTCACTTCAAAATTTTAAACTAATACATATAAATAATGTATCGTAATTTAAATAAAATTTTCTTAATTCGCTCTTCCATTTTATAATCTTATCAATTTAATTTACTCCTATCTAAAAACAAAATTTTCATTATCAATTTACTTCTGATGGTGAGTTCACAAAAACCCAGAATTGAATAAAAACATTTCCCATTTTTTTTCTTCTTTTTCTTAAGATGTGATTTTACTACTATTTAACAATGATATATTTCTATCGCTTACATATTTTTATTTTAAAATTTTACTTAACTTTAAAAGTTATGCAACCGCCTTGATGAAGGAAGAGGTTTGTGCAGTAACAGAACTAATGCAATAAATAGCAGCAACAGCAAATCCCTTGACTTACACTTGCACTACTCAACCAGGGAGTAATCAGCAATAATAGATCCAGCAGGCATGTCAGTGGTAAAATCTTGGCCCGCAACCTCCTTTCTTGTGTGTTGCCTGAGCCTGAGACTAGACATCAGATATTATGGAGACTGGGGATCCACAACATTAATTGGAAAGGCCTAAGACCTTTTCTCTCTTTTCTTTTTCTAAAAATTGGTTAGTAAATATACAAGCAGCTTAACTAACACATTTTAGAGGGTAAGAAAATCTACAATCTAGTGAATACCCATCATGTGTCAATATCACTAGGCATAAAATACTAGCTGCAGATAATTAACAATTCACTGTGTAAATTTGCAACGTCGTTTCACAAATTTGAAGCCTCAGTTTCCACGTCATCAACTTTCATCATCATCATCATCATCCACATCATCAATGGGAATGTCCTCGCTATTAAAACCAATGCCTAGAAATGTATATGAAATACGGCAAAATATTAACTCACAAGGAAAAGAATCAAATATATACTTGCAATACGAAAGTAATGCTATCAACAAAAATTTTGCAATTACCAATGCAAATGTTGCCATGAGTACGTTGCCAATGCAGTTTAGTTTAAGTAGGTTTATTCTATTTAAATAGAATTAGCATTGCAAAATTAATAAATCTTTTATAGGGCCCAGTAGTTTAGGCAAATTATCTATCTACTCATCCAACTTATGTTGAGAAGCCTATGAATGAAGGAAGCCAAGGGAAAGACATGCTAAGAAGTCATCCTTAAGTTGGCAGGAGAAATAAATGTCACATTGGGGGCGATCAAGCAATACCACAAAGCTTCCCCTTTAGCATCTACCTACTCTTTAACAAAAGCACTACCAAGAGAGACCAACTAACATGGGGGCTCACCCCATAACTATAGGCTTTAATTCCACACGTGTCTTTTATTGCTTTGTGATAATTTTTATCATTAAAAGACAAAAGTGCCGGCTGGGACAGAGTGTAGTGATATTAGACCATATTTGTAAATCAAGGAATGTGATTATAGTCTGAACCATGAAGAGCTGCAAGCCCATAAGGGTCTTCATCACAAGAATACTAAAATAACTCCAAGCCTCCATTTGTTCAAAACAAAGTTAGATGTCAAATTTTCACTGTAGGCATGACATATTTATATCTTGGAATTAAAATTTCGTAACATACACCATAAAATCAAGAGATAGCTCAAATTAAAAGAACAAGAAGCCAGCTATGAGAAAGAGATTTGAAGAAACAAGTGATAAACGATATTGACCAAAAAGTTCAGTCATGCCAAAATAATTTTATGTCCCACTGGTAATCTCCAGATTTCTCCCCAATCCTTCTTGCATTTTATGTAAAAAAGGGATTGGCTTCATATCTATGATCATTAAAAAGGCTAAACTTTTACCTCTTTGAATTGAAGAAGGATAAGGTGACAAGTCCTTTGCTTCAGGATTGCTATCGAGAAGATATGGAAGTTCCAGAAGCTGCAAAAGAGATTCTGTCTGAGGATTTCGGGGATTCACTGCAAAAATTGAAATGATAATTAAATAAAATTTGCACTTCTACAGTTAAATTTTAAACAATACAACACAAGGCAGCATGATACAATGAAATCATGGCTAACATCATATAATTATATGAGAACTCTGTCCTTTTTTCTTAATTTTCTTTTCTACAAGCCAAAACTATACTATTAATAATGTCGAATCAATTAGTAAACCATGTCAATACAAGAGATCAAAGGAATAAAAGAGAAGAGTTAACTCACAAGTACACATACCCATAATAGAAGTAATTCTTAATTATAACTAATTTAGGATCTAGTATGTGATTGACAATTGACTTTCAATAAAAAGAAATATTTATAGTTCAAATTATGGTGTATTTTCTATATAACTGCACCAAAAAATACAAAAATAAAATATATTTAATTGACATATGAACTAGATATAGGAAGACACAATAGTTGAAACTACCTAATCATAACATGCATATAAGATGTGTATGCATGGGAGCTCACATAAAGTGTACATGGATAAGATTAGACAGTTACAAATTAGCCCAAATACATAAATGATCATAATTAGAATATCTTTATGCATATAGAACATGTTGAACAAATTTTAATTAGTGGCTTACAATGTGTACTTTGTAATGTAAATAATAAATCAAAAGAAATACCAGCAAAAGCACCATCAAAATTGGACCGTGAAGGATCATAACATGGAGCTGTTTTAACAAATTCGAAAGGTTTGCACCCCCTCTCTTGTAGCCTGCTTCTAACCCATTCAAGAGAATCGTCCATCTCAAGATTTACACCTCTGTCAGCAAGTGCAAATAGCATTGTTATTATTATTATTATTAGAAGAGGAAGAGGAAAGGGCAGGACAACAAAGATTTTACTGAGGACTCAAATCCTAAATGTCAGTGAAGGTGTTTTCACATGCACATACACACACCTGAAGTCTGCACCTTTGGTTGTCAAAGGGAGGATAGGGTTGAACTTCCGTGTTATTGCTAACCATTCTTCATCATACTGAATCTCATAAGGCCCTGCATCCGATTCAATTTCCACAATCTAAAGGCACAGAACATGCCATGATTGTAATCACTAACTCAAAGAGATATCAAGAATAACCTTGCAAATGATAATTGTATGCCTATACCTGTAAGAAATCACGCCCAGGAATACATTTATCCAGCGCAAGGAATTTTGTCAGTGGACCTCCTTCCCCATGTTGAACAACAGCAGCAAACTTGCAGTGTAGGTGAGCTGAAAACCAATAATGTGGTTTCAGTTTTTCCAGAAGTTCAGCAGCAGGTTTACTCCCAAGTCTTTTTTCCTCTATCTGGGAAAAAACATCAGGTACATAAATATGATACAGTGTTGTTATAGAAAGTGTTATTAGTTATTACAAACCAATATCTATATGACTGCTCCAGAAATGATAATTCTCCTCCAATAAATTTATCTTTCATATTTTAAAAAAAAATGTGAGGCTAGTATCCTAGATAAGTTCTTAGCCTTCTCAATGTTGCTGAATCCTAGACCCAAAAAATATAAGCAAATGAACATCTGGATATGCAACATGTAGAACAACTATTACTAAGAGTCTATCTGATACACGCATAGAAACGTTTTTGAGGGTTTACAAACTCTTCATTAACTTAAAAATGACAGTGAATCTCACACCTCTTGCCTGAAAAAATGCTTGCGCCTAACAAGCTCCCTCCAATCCCCATAATCAGTGATACACAGCGGCCAATCATGCGAAAGAAAAACATCAACAGGCTCCCTGACTTGCATTAGTTTGCGAACATCATATTCGCGAACATGATAAACAGACCTAATGGTATTCTGATCATAAGGAGGCCTCTCAAAATGTCCTGCTCAAACAAACAGCTAACAACATTCAGTAATTATCCCACAAACACCACTCAGACACAAAACTCTTCAGAAACCCACAATTCACAAACAAAAAACCTAATTTATAGTGACGAGAATTGTAAATCCCAGAGAGGCCACCAATTCGGACATTCCCAAACCTCACCACTCCAGCAGCTCCCAAGAAGTAGATATTAGGAGCAGCCCATCCTCCATAGTACCTGCAACAACAAACACTTATCAAAACCCTAAATCACATTGCAACGGCTATTAGAGTGTTATGTCGAGGTGAACTCACAGTTCCCGGAGGTAATTGGATGCTTCGTGGTTGCCGCCGATGAAGATGGTGGGGTACGGGGCAACCTCAGCGCCGGAGTAGTACTTCCAGAAAGTATTCATGGCGCGGTAGCGCGGTGGGACGTTCAAGCTCTTCAAGTCGTTCTCGTTCCTCACGGCTTGGAAATCGCCGCAACATATGAGGAGGTCGATTTTGGTGTTGTTGGATTTCTCCAGCTGCTGAAGGGTTCTGTACACATTCTCCAGGTCGCCGTGCATGCACCCTTCCACCGCTATCTTCATCCTCGCTCGCTTCGCTGATCGGAAACCCTGTCAAAACCCTAATCACAATTCACACCCATGCTTCGCATGGGTTTTCCTTTCCTTTTTTTTTTTTTTTTTTTTTATAGACTTCGGTTTAGATGAATCTACTGAGAAGGTAAATAAAGTCTAGCTTTCCTCACTTTTGTTTATTCACGCAAATTAATTTCGGATGAATTTAATTATGTAAGATTTTTACACAAACATTAAATTTAATTTAATATGTATGATATTTGAATTTAAATAAAAAAAATATTTTACAATATATGTGTATATAAATTAAAATTACTAATTTTAAATTGAAAGAGATCAATAAGATAAATTTTCTTATTTCTTTCTTTTTAATGAAATCATCAATAACGACATCTTCAAGTCATATAAAAAATACTTACATCATTTCTTGTAATCAAAATTAATATTTATGATAACTTATTTGATAATTCAAAATGAGTGATTTTGAAGGTTTATTTCGAGATGATATGTAATATTAAATTACTGTTTTTTTTAGTTCACGTGAAAATTTAACTAGTATGTTAAATATTTGTTCTCTTTCATGTTCTTGATAAAATTTAAAAGAGAAGTTATCGTGTTATGTTGTGTGAAAATAAATTTATCGTAACCTTATAATTAGTTCATAATAACATGGATCATTTTCATCCTTACTTTTCTTTGATTGTTAATATTAACAAATTGTTGTGATTATTTTGGAGTGTCACCTTACAACATACATTTTGTGAAATTAATTCATAACTCTTGTAAACTATCACATCAGTCATAATGTTTATTTCTAACATTAGAATTATTCTCTACCTTAGCCAACTTCTCTGCTATATGAATCTATGAGAATATTATACTTCATAAAGTTGGAATTCAAAAATTTTGTTAGAAGTATTTTGAATTTTGAGTTTTAGTATTTTTTAATGTTGTTTTCAAGGTGTGTCTGGTGAAACAAAAGATGAGAAAAAATTGTATATATTAGTAAAAATTGATTTTGAGAGCGTTTATTAAAATAGGAATGAAAATGTGAATAAGTTTTTACAAGTTTCATAAGAATTTTAGTCCCCTCCAAAATGAAAGGATTTGGATGAAAATTACTTTAAGTTACAAAATTATCCTCCATCGTCAATTAAAAATTTGTAAAAATAAAGAGTAACTATATAATTTAATTTACAATATAAATTAAGTTTTTTTATTTTATAAAATATAAACCAATTAAAAAATGATATTCTTTTCATTTTTCTCTTTTCTTCTATCAAACAATTTCAATTTCCATTTTATTTCTCACTTCCTTATCTTCTATTCTCTTCTATTTTCTTCATTTATTTCTTTTTTACCAAATACAAATTTAATGTACATGACAATCATTCATTCGGAGAATACCTAGTTCTTCTCTTTGTTAAACATATTCCTTCTCTTACTTAGTCGATAGGACAGGGAATTAGCATCATTAACTAATTAAAATAATTATTTAAATAATTTTAAGATAATTATTATATAAAATCTATAAATGTACCATATGTAGGAGAAATAGTCAAGTATAATTTCACAGTATTAAAACAAAAAAAAATAAATAACAAATTTCTTGATGTAATCATTTATTATCATAGTTATATGAAGATTTTCAAATTTGTCACCACAATAATGATTTACTAGCTATAATCTCTTACTATAAAAAAAATACTTTTCTTTTTTATTTCAGTAAAATTAAAAGTTAAAAAAAAAAACACCGCATATAACGTTAACTAACGTGACAAAATCACACTTTATATAATATAAAACATATTAAATATCTTTAAACTATGGTTAGCAACTATTGACATTATACATTTATACATATATATGTAGGATGTCGTCGAAAATTATCATGGAAGGAAATGCATTTGATTTTCTCTTTATTTTGGACAACATCGTATGTAATGTTTTAGTTGGGTTGGAGCATCTGACACGCATGGGTTATTACGAGTTGAGATAATATTATGTGGCCAGGAACGACGCACGAAACGTGCTAGTCTTTCTTCTTCTTCTTCTTCCTTTGAGTTCGAGCTACCCTCTTGAGTCCTATTTGAAGCCATGGCGTTGGTGAATCCATTTCTGTCTCCAACACGAACTTCCCTACCTCTGCGTGTTTCTGCGCCACCAAAACAAGTACTACGTTGGACTCTCTGCTCCCACTCTTCCAAACCATCGTCAAGATCCAAGCACACCAAGTCTTCCGCCACCGCAGACATCAAAGCCGCGGCTTTAGTTGACGGAGAAGCAGATCACGCAGTTCTCGTGGGCCCCACCAGCGAGGAGGACCGAAAAGGGGACTACGACTGGACACAGGAATGGTACCCTTTGTACCTCTCTCAGAATGTTCCGGAAGATGCACCTTTGGGTCTCAAAGTGTTTGATAAACAGCTCGTGTTGTTCAAGGACGGCAATGGCCACTTTCTCTGTTACGAAGATCGCTGCCCCCACAGGTCCCTGCTTATAATTTCATACCAATACCAATTTATGATGCACTATTGTTGTATAATGTTTATCGATTTCATTTGATGCTCCGTTACAGTATTATCCAACAAGTTGTTCAAGTAAAACTTCCTTTTGCACCTTCATTCACTAATGGTTATCATGTTTGTCAAATGCTGGACTTGGATTGGACCTTATATTTTCGTACAATTCAGGTTAGCTAAACTATCTGAGGGACAGTTGATTGATGGAAGGCTTGAGTGTCTATACCATGGATGGCAATTTGAAGGGGAGGGCAAATGTGTGAAGATACCTCAGGTTAGTTATCCTTTGTTCCTACAATTATTCTTAGCTAAGGTTTGTCCATAAACTTCTCCAAAAATAATATTTCTAGAAAGAAAAATAAAATAAGTATCTTGATTTATGCATGAGTTGTAGATTTTGATTGATATAACTTTCTCTTAAAAAAATTACAAATAAATTTATGCATGAATTATGAAAAAATTTATTTTATTTTTCTTTTCTATTCTATTTTGTTTTATACAAGTGTTTCTTCATATTTTTAAATTATGAAAGAACTTATTTTATTTCTCTTTTCTATTCTATTTTGTTTGTTTAATATAAGTGTTTATGGAGAAGCATATTCAAAAATGCTATAAATCAAATTTTCATAACTAGTTGAAGGCCACATGATGCTGACAACTTATTTGTTTTGAACAGCTTCCAGCTGACGCCAAAATACCTAGGTCGGCTTGTGTTAGAACATATGAAGTGAGGGACTCTCAAGGTGTTATATGGGTGTGGATGTCCCGGAAGACACATCCAAATGATAGCAAACTACCTTGGTTTGAGAACTTTGCAAGGCCGGGGTTTCAAGATGTGTCAACAACTCATGAACTCCCTTATGATCACTCTATTCTTCTGGAGAACCTGATGGATCCTGCTCATATCCCAATCTCGCATGACAGAACAGATTGGACTGCCAAAAGGGAGGACGCTCAGCCGCTGTGTTTTGAGGTGACAGAACGAACTGATAGAGGGTTTGCAGGTTGGTGGGGCAGAGAGAAAGATGGGTCTATGCCTAACTTCTTGCGGTTTGATGCTCCTTGTGTTCTGCAAAACAATAGGGAAATTGTTGATAAGAATGGTGAAAAGAACTACTTCACTGGCCTGTTCCTTTGCACACCAACTGGGCAAGGGAAATCCCTGCTCATAGTGAGGTTTGGAGGAACGAAAAGATCTCCACTGGCAAAACTGTTTCCTAAGTGGTACTTCCATCAGAATGCAAGCAAGGTGTTTGAGCAAGACATGGGATTCTTGTCATCCCAAAATGAAATTCTCTTGAAAGAGAAGGTTCCAACAAAGGAACTATACTTGAATCTGAAATCATCAGACACATGGGTTGCAGAATACCGGAAGTGGATGGACAAAGTGGGGCATGGGATGCCGTACCATTTTGGTCACAGCACTATCTCTTTGCCCAAAGAGCCTGCTGTGGTTGAACATGCACCTGCTGGACTGGTTGCAGGATTATCAGCTTCCTCACCTGCCAAGGGGGGCATTGGAACTATGCATGCTCCTAATTTAGCCAACAGATACTTTAGGCATGTGATACATTGCAAATCATGTAGAACCGTCGTCAAAGCTTTCCAAACTTGGAAAAATGCTCTTACAGCTGTGGCCGTTGCATTAATTGCAATGGCAGTTCTGGTGTCTGGGAGACAATGGAAGGCCCTTCTCTTGGCATCAGCCTCCCTGTGCTCTATTGGAGTCTATGCTTGTTCAACAGCCATTGCAATGAATACAACAAACTTTATTAGGACACATAGGAGATTGTGAGTGACAAAGTTGTAAAATAGTTGTTAAAATGAATATTTATAGTAGTTTGTTTAATGAATGACTACTGAGTTATTACAGGGTGGTGGTTGTGTTTGACAGTACATCTGTAAAGTTTTTAAGCAATTTTACAAAATGTTTTGATTTTATGAAATTAAAATTAAATTTGAGATAAGTTTGTAATAAAATTTCGTATAAACTTCAAAATCATTGAGTAACACTCGCTCATCAAGTCGATTTCTATAAAAAGTATAATGATATTTTTATAAAAGTAAAATGATATTTTTAGTCATAATTTTATGTCCAAACTAGAAATTGAATTTCAATTTCTGGATAAGGAGAGATTGCTAGATAGTGTCAACTTTGTAGTGAGAGTGTGAGATTGCAAGTGTTGAGCAAATGCCATAAAAGTGTTGCGTCTTTGCAAGGTATAAACTGGATTTTTTTAGCAAACTGAACATTTTAAAAAATAGGTTCAGTTTTAAAATTTTATTTTAAAAACTAGATCAAATTCTATTTTATTATTTGATTCTGATTTTTTAATAATTGATTCTGATTTTTTAATAATTGATTCTGATTTTTTAAAAGTGGTTCCATCTGGTTTTAATTCAATTTGGTTCTTTTGGTTTTCTTGAACACTCCTGAAGGAGACACTTCAGATAATAACTTTTAGTAAGTAGACTTGATTTAGTTTACTGTAACTATACAAAGCAAAAATGACGCGAAATCACATTTGTCTGAGGCGGTTAAACTCTAATAGTTGGATGTCATTTAGTAATATCTTATCCCTCTGTGTTAACCAGACAAGGAAAACAAGAAAAAGGTTCCTCCTATTGATAATTTAATGAAGAGATATGACGGGGGAGGGCATGCTTCAGCAGAAAACCCTCGAAATATTCATTTCAACATGAATCTGCAGTATTCTGGGATGCAAATACATCAAGAGGGACTTGTACATCGATAATGTTAGAAAGAAAAAAGAAAGAGAAAAAAAAAATGATTAGCGCACAAGATTGTTAATATATTATTGGTGAAGTCAGTGCCGTTATTTTTCACAAAATTAACCTCAACTGAAACAGAATAATGCGTTCTGTCAGGGAGCTTAAGCGTCTACATGTTGAAACAGAACAGCCTGTATTGTGGTTTCGTAACTGCTTCTCCATACATTTCATTGAGTAAAACAATGACATTTATACAAGTTCATAAACATATAAAAAATAATATTAACTGATTGCTTCCAGTAACATATGAGTGTTAAAAAATGAATAACTTGACAACAACATTGTTCAATGTAAAAGTAATTTGGGAGCTAAAGAGGCTGCTGCATCTACGAGACACACGTAAAACGAGGTATATATATAAGTACACTTTTCAGTTTTCACTACTTAGAAGCCATGCTCCAGCATTAGGAAGTATTAGTAGGAGGTTCTCCCAACCACTTTGCACGAAAGCCTGTTCCTTGACAATGAGAACAGCACATTGATCCCTGAAAAACAACAAATTAAAGAGAAAAAATGAAACCCATGCTAAGGAAAATATAGGTGAAGAGAATTTGCATTAAAAGAGGTACCTTTCCAGTGCAAATGATACAGGTAGTGTTTCTGGATGGGACTTCACAAAGCATGTTATCACCCAGAATAAAGAAGCCAGTACCCGCACACCATTTACATTCAATATGCCCTTTTGAGTTGCAAGATGAACACACTATTGGCCTTGGTTGCTGCAACCATCAACCATCATAAACATATCAAAATAAATTGCCATATTATTGAACTTTATAATATCTACTAACTAACCCTAAAGCTTTAGAAATGCGAAATTGGGAGAATATGCATCTAGAAATAGGAAATAGGACCTTAGAAATTAACCAGGCTTGTTCGATGCGTCTGGTGAAATCAGCTGAGGAGGAGTCCACCATAGAAACGTGGACGCGTAGGTGACAACTTCTGTTCTTGCCCTTAACCGTTACTGCGTCAGGAATTGGGAATGGAATGCGTGATATGAAGAAAGTGTTACTGGGAATCAGCGTAGAAGATACAGATCCACTCATTTTCTTTTGTCTTCCCAACGATTACAATAATCAGAACTGCAGGTAAGATGAATGAACGATTTTTGTTGGCGTGTAAACAAAACTCTATGTCCATCCATAAACATATCAGAATAATTAATAAATAGTAATACAATATTGCTTCGCCTGGGCCCACTGCTCCTTGTAAGTTTTAAGCGTCTTTCTTTCTCTCTTTTGATTTTTCCTGCGCAGACCGACAACCCAAAAACTAATTTTGCTTTTCCATTCCATCTCCATTTCAAAGTAAATTTAACAGGATAATATATTTTATAAACATTTATTGCTAAGTTTATATTTTTCTTTTTTACGAGTAATGCTACACAAACCCAAACATATTCCGAATTATCATCCCAATTATTCAAATATTATTATCTTTTAATAAATTTGTTATAAAATAATTATTTTATTTAATTTTTTTTATTTAGATCAATTTTTTAATAATTCAGAAGAAATTTCTGCATGTTCTATTGGAAAGTGTAGCATTTTCCTTTTTTATTGCTAAAAGTTATCATAATAACACTAAGATTGCGTTTGAAATACCCGCGGTACGGGACATACAATTCTATCTCGGGATACATGATTAAATTAGTGAAATGTTTTTTTCTTTAAAAAAAAAAGTGAAACCAATTAGAACCTGACGGGATATTTTATTAAATATTTTTAATAATAAAATTATCACTCTTTATTTTCATAATTCTTTCATTGCACATATAACTAAAAAATAAAATGTTTATCGTAATTTTTTTTTCGCTCGATACTGTTGGATGTTTTTTTCTCCCTCTCCTTGCACTGTTCTTTGTTCTCACTACATACAAGGATAAAACAAGTTTTTTTTTCTCTTTTGTTGTGCTATTTGCATCATTGAAATTTGTGTCTTCCTGTTTGCATCATATAAACTATTGATCATTTGAATTACTATCGTTTACTAATAGAGAAAATGTTAAAACCATTCAAATCAAATCAAAGTTGTTATATATATATATATATATATATATATCAACAAGTAATTTAATTTTTTTTTAGTAAATTTGGTTTGTGTGACTATTGAATTTGTTGTCTAATTTTATTTTAGTTTTTCAATATAGACATTGAATGGAACATTTTCGTGTTTTGTTTAATTTTTTTATATTTAATCAAACATTAAACAGGATAGGGATATATGTAATTAAACATTGTGTTCTGTTCAACAAGCACCAAACACAAAATAGAACCATGTTCTATTCTGTTTTGTTATTACCAAACCCAATATAAATATATTATTGTTTTGTTTCATTATGTTCTATTCTATCCCCTTCCACTATCAAACGCTACTTAAATTTTGAATATAAGACAATAAATTTTTTATGTTTAGAAATAAAAAACTATAAAAATATGTAAATAAAAAAATTATTCATAAAATAAATAGGTTAACTTACAATTTTGGTTCTTTTATTTTCGTCAATCAATAATTTTGATCCTTTTATTTTAAAATAAATACATTTTGTTCCTCTAATTTTTAAAATATTTTTAATTTTTTAATCAAATTGACATTTATTAATCATTAGATCTTAATGTTTATTCATACTTAACTGATGTGATATTTAGAAATCAAAAATGTTGTTATAGTTAATGAAGATTCATGAACAAAAGTGAGATAACATTACTATGAATTTTATTGTTTGAATGTAGTTCATTATATATTGATATATGGTGTTAATTATGTATACAATGATATTGGATGATGTATATTGATGATTATATTGTTGATAGTTGTATATTGACATGTTGAGGTTATGGTATTGAAAATGCTTAAGGCATTAAGTTGTGTTGAGATGATTGACTTAAGACTATACAATAAGGTGTTTTAAAAAGTTGGATATTACATTGTGAGAATATGGTGTTGTGGTGTTCTAAGAGCCCAATTGTTGAAAAATCTTCCTTTTGTCTCTTATAATGGGGTGTTGGGTTTCCTCGAGGTCCTTGTTTATTTTTTGAGTAAGGTATGAAGTCAAGGGATAAAACCCTTAACTAAGTACTAGAGAAGTACATGGTATCGTGAGAATAGTTAGTGGATTGTACTTATAGATGACTTGGTTAATATATATCAATGTCGTGACAGACCCACACCAAAACTATATTATAACTAATGATGGTTACTGGACTTTCCTAGTTTAAGTGACGAAATCCAAGAAACCATATTTTCATGGATTGGTATTTAAATTAGTTGTTAATCTAGCTAGTGTAAAAAGATCATGTTGGTTTAGTAGAGTCGAGCCACTTATACTGCTCACTAGTGTTGTAAGAGATCTCTTAAGTAAGTGCATGATGACACATGTAGTTATGGTGTTATGCATGTGATGGGTTGATTGTGAAGTTATTAATACGCTATGTTGAATTATTGTTAAGTTGCATAGTTGTGGTGTGATTTGAAATTGTTGTTATGTGGTTGAGTTGTTTACCCTTTTGAAGGTTGTTGCATACCATGTTGAGGTGTTGTTGTTGTGTTGCGCTTATATTGTGTTGCAAATTTGTGTTTTTCAAGTTGATAATAAGCTATGTTGATTAAGTTGTGTCACTTATACGCTGATATGATATAATGACGAGTTGTGTAATTTTGTTGTAAGTTGAAAGTTGATAAGTTGTGAAATTGTGTTGCTAAGATGATGTGTTGAAGATTGTTAATACATAAGGTGGTGATGTGTGTTTATTTATGTAGTTATGATGCAATGTTGTTTAAGTTGTGGTGCTATTAAATAGTTGCATTGTGAGTGTAGTGTTGATCACATGTAGTGTTGGAAAGTTGTATTATGGATGTACTAGGTTGATATGCTATTAAGTTGTATATTATGTTGACATGCGGCTTGATTGACCTTAGGTTGTTGTTGAGTTATGATGTTGAAGTTGTTTTATAGTTAGCCTATATGCTTTTATATTATATGATTTCTTTCAATCTCAAGTTTACTCTTGCATGTTCTTTTATGGTTGGACTATGGTGATTATATTTGATATGAGAGCAAGATAATGATAAGCTAGAGGAGGAGTCTTGTTTTAGAGGCCTTGCTATAAAGGATGATGATTTGTTATGGGCTATTCTTATATAACTATTTTTTTAGAGTTTGCTTGATGGTAGCTTGGACTTTTATGTTTTTAATTATTTGGGATATTGTAATCACACACACACACACACACACACATATATATATATATATATATA